CCAAACCCTCCTTAGTCAGCAACAGCAACTGTAGAAAGGGCAATGCAGACACTGTTTGAAAAAGGGGTTTGGGGTGGCAAGATGGGTCTGTAGGCTCTGGAGCAGCTAATACTCATTCCTCCAGGCCCAGGCAAAGTGCACTGTTTCCTCTTGCAGGCCTTTGCCTAGACTGCCTTCCGCTGCTATTTGTGTCAACAATACACGAATGACACGAAAGCTCTAATCGCATTACAGCTTGTCCGTGGCAGCAATGACACATAGCTGCTACCTTCGCAGTTTTACTAGAGCACACAGTCTCTGCTGCTCCACGCTAGTCACCTGAGGAGCAGCAAGGCAGGAGGCCAGACACCACCGTCGACAATAGCATATGTGCTCGGTAGATTAAAACCGATCCTCATGCTGCCCCGTGATCAGCCTGGAGCTGGTGAGCTGCCTACTCCTTATGCTACATATTGCAAGATACTTAATATCCATGAGGCAAAGAGAGGAAAAGTGCTGGGTTTAGGACCTGCATACCTGTTTTGACAAGGTAGACCATGGCTTTCACAAAATAAACTTTCTTAAATGGTACTAAACTGCTGCTTCTGTAACTTTCTTAAGTAAATTGTAACTTTCTTAAGCAATAATAAGTAGTGAGATACTTTTAAAACCATTAGTCCATAAAGGGACTAAATAGGTTTACTGATTTATCTTTGTACTACAAACTAGTACACGCTCTTCATTTTTGCTACACATACAAGGAAAATATGGTCTGACAGCCTGGATGAGCATCTTCATCATTGAGTCAAAGTGCACACACAAGCAACAGGATTGAAACTGGATTGGTAAACTAAAGTTTCTGCATTTTTTAATGTTAATGTCTCTTTTTATTATTGAAAAATTAAAAGTCAGGATATTTTTTGGACTACTTTATATTTGTTGTCATTGCCAAACTTAGGCAGTGAAGTTGCTCTATAGGGTAGCAGCCCAAGGGCACACCCAAAGGGCCCGGCTCATGCCATCCTCACGTGGGTGAGGGATCTGAACCAGCGCTGACATCTCTCAGCATGGGGTTGGCAATATCATTATTTCAGGACTGCGCCTGCCCTCCTGCGTCCCCTCTCTTACTCCATTGCGTGGCAGTCCTTAGCCTGCACTGTGAATTCCTGTCCCTGTACCAGGCTCCTCATTTCTACACAGGACCAAGTTAAGTGTTTCAGTGCCTCAGTTCAGGATGTGCCCCTTGACTCCTGGGCACCTTTTTAGTCTGGTATCTGTACCTCATCTACCTAGAATAAAAGGTATGAGTTTAAGGTTTTATGTACTTTGGAAATGAGAACAGAAATAGACCTTCTGGCAATGGGTGAGATTGAGTAAAAGAAAGCAATATCACACCCACAACTTTATTATACCACTCTGAATATTATTTAAAATTTGCAAATTGTGACAGGTTTTCAAACAGAACTAAGTGCAAACCATCTTTTCTTGGCTAAATGTATTATTTTTGTGCTTCAATTGAATTGTTTTATGTAACTATATCCCTTAAGGGTTCATAAACATTAACCACATCATAATTTTAATGGTAAGTTCTAGGTAATAGATGCAAGGCAGAAGATGCTATTGGATGTAATAGAATAATCCAAGTCCTGGCTGAAGAATACCCAGAATTGAAAAACTGTGTCTGCACTACAGACGATTTCTGTAGCATCACGACTTTGCTTGGGAAACAGTGCAGCATTGATAAAGGTAACTTAACATAAAGATTTAATTATGAAGAATAAAAAGAAATATATAATTTTGTAACCCTTGTTTTAACTGGATTCAAGTTTCTTTGCATATTTCTCAAATCTGATTATTCCCCCCGCACATTATTTCTTTTTTTCATGTGATATTCACACACCAACATGCATATGAAAGCAATGCCATATCTGCTTTAAAATAACCAAATCAATAAAAGGCATGTGAGAAATTCAAATGTTTTTCAAAGCTTTTGCTCAATCCAATGGGAAGCAAGAGTGAAAATGCTATGTGTGTTGAAGGCTACTTGTTGCCCAAGGAGGCTTAAGCGCTACTGTCAATGGGAGTGTGGGTGAATGGGGATGCACAGCTGTGCAGTTGTGTCACATTGTGTTACAGGAGCATCTTCACTGCATCTAGAGGGGGTTACTGGGTGTGGGAAACACAGTTACTGCCTTCATAAACCTGTACTTAATACATAAAGTGCATCCTTTTTAAAATTCCATTGTAATCAATGGGCCCAGCTCCTTTAAATTTATTTTTTATTATCCTGAGAACTCTCTTCCCTTCAGAAAACCTATTTCTATAATTGAGAATTACTTGGTGCGTGAAAGGCTTGCAGTTTCTGATCCAATGTCTCCTAGATTAGTGATTAGCAAAGCTGACACAAAAGAGGTAAAATCAGCCAGTGAATGAGAATCTGGAAGGTGAGCCCCGAGGTTGATTCCCAGCTCTGATCCATCACTCCCCGCTGGCATCAATTAACATACATCATATAGTAGTAGAATATAGAGCTTTATTGCAGAGGAAATAATTACATCCTGATCCATTACTCCTTGCCCCAAACAAGAAGAGTGAGTATCTAAAACCTGATATTTATGTCATTGGAACAGGTGCTTTTGCTTCTAGCAAAATGAAGTAATTTTATATATTTTGCTGATAGAGATTGCATTTCTCTCCAGTATAGCAAAATGTTGGGCTGGAGTTACATGAGTATTGGTTTTACCTACAGGTGATAGTTTATGGAGTTGGTAGCTACTTTCAGGAGTAATTGTCTCTCTTTATCTTAAATCACTGTTTTAGGCAATGAATGAACCACCTTCTGGAATTGCCATTCTCTCTTTACAAATTATGCACTCAATTAAGATTATAATTCATAATATGTCCAATCTGTAGATGGTCAAAATTATGTGAGGAGAATCCTTTTATGCAGTAATTTTAGTGAGGGTTTCTCATATTACTGTTAGCAGCTGAATTTTTAAAGTAGACTGTATTATACAGCTACCAGGACACAGCAAGCATGAGGAAGATTCATTAGTCTGCAAGACTCCGAAATTATTATGCATTTACATACAGCTCAGCATGAAACTAACGCTGCTTTATTCATTTTATTGCATTACGACAATTATTCTTTCCCCGAGTTTGTTTTGAGCTGACCAATCATGATCTATCTTCCATTTGATTTATATCATAGAATCATAAATCATAAAATCTTTATGTTGGAAGGGACCTTTAAAGGTCATCTAGTCCAACACCCCTGCAGTGAGCAGGAACATCTGCAACTAGATCAGGTTGCTCAGAGCCCCGTCCAACCTGACCCGGAATGTTTCCAGGGATGGGGCATCTACCACCTCTCTGGGCAACTTGTGTCAGTGTTTCACCACCCTCGTTGTCAAGAATTTCTTCCTTCTATCTAGCCTAAAACTGCCCTCTTCTAGTTTAAAACCATTACCCCTTGTCCTATCACAACAGGACCTGCTAAAAATCTGTCCCCATCTTTCTTATAAGCCCCCTTTAAGTACTGGGAGGCTGCAATAAGGTCTTCCTGGAGCCTTCTCTTCTCCAGGCTGAACAACCCCAACTCTCTCAGCCTGTCCTCACAGCAGAGGTGTTCCAGCCCTCGGATCATTTTGGCAGCCCTCTTTTAGACCCACTCCAACAGGTCCATGTCTTTCCTGTGCTGAGGGCTGCAGAGCTGGACACAGGACTCCAGGTGGGAGCTCATGAGAGCAGAGTGGAGGGGCGGAATCTCCTCCCTTGCCCTGCTGGCCACACTGCTTTGGATGCAGCCCAGGAGATGGTTGTTCTTCTGGGCTGTGAGCACACATTGACAGTTCATGTCCAGCTTTTCATCCACCAGTAGCCCCAAGTCCTTCTCCATGGGGCTGCTTTCAATCCCTTCACCCACTAGCCTGGATTGATACCAGGGGTTGCCCCAACCCAGGTGCAGGACCCTGCACTTGGCCTTGTTGAATCTCACGAGATTCACATGGGCCAATTCCTCGACCTTGTCCAGGTCCCTCTGGATGGCATCCCGTCCCTCAGGTGTGTCTTCCACACCCCTCAGCCTGGTGTCATCTGCAAACTTGCTGAGGGTGTGGAAGACACACCTGAGGGACGGGATGCCATCCAGAGGGACCTGGACAAGGTCGAGGAATTGGCCCATGTGAATCTCGTGAGATTCAACAAGGCCAAGTGCAGGGTCCTGCACCTGGGTTGGGGCAACCCCTGGTATCAATCCAGGCTAGTGTGCAATCATCCAACCAATTCGTCATCCACCAAACAGTTCATGCATCAAAACTGTATCTCCACAATTTAGAGAGAAGGGTGTTGTGGGAGACTGTGTCAAAGGCCTTACACAAGTCCAGATAGATGATATAAGTAGCCCTTCCTTTGTCCACTGGTGTGGTCACCCTATCATGGTAGGCCATGAAGTTGGTCAGGCAGGACTTGCCCTTGGTGAAGCCATGCTGTCTGTCTCGAATCACCTCCCAGTCCTCCATGTGCCTTAGCATAGCTTCTAGGAGGACCTAGAAGCTATGTCTTCCCAGACACAGAGGTGAGGCTGACAGGTCAGTAGTTCCCAGGGTCCTCCTTGTTACCCTTTTGAAAAATGGGTGCAATGTTTCCTTTTTTCTAGTCTCCAGGGACTTCACCTGACTGCCGTGACTTTTCAATTATCATGGAGAGTGGCTTTTGAGCTCAGGGCTCTGGGATGCATCTCATCAGGTCTGGGATGCACCTCATCAGGTCCCATAGACTTGTACATGTTCAGGTTCCTCAGGTGGTGTTGAACATGATCTTCTCTTACAGTGGAAGGGACTTTGCTCCTTCAGTCCCCATCTTGCAGTCCATCTGCTTGAGAGGTGTGGGGAGAGAGACTGCCAGTGAAGACTGAGGAAAGAAGTTGCTGAGCACCTCAGCCTTCTCCTCATCCATTGTTACCAGTCTGCCAGTCTGGTAGATGTCCTGATTTATATCTCTGTTTCTACCTATTTTTACAGAATATTTGGAAACTTCCTCAAGATCCAATACTGAACTGAGTTTTAGGCAACACAGAAACCCCAAAGACCAAAGACACCCAGAAGAATTAGAGAACGACTGCAGTATTGCAAAACAACGCTGTCGAGAGGACCCTTACTGTTTTCTAGTGTATAAGAGCTTCCAGCGAGCATGCCAGGCGGATGCAGCAAAATGCAGGCTCCCGATGGTCAACCAGGAGTGTTTGTCAGTGTGGAAAGAACTGAGGAAAACAGTTCTGGGAGAGTGCGAGTGCTCAGAGCCCCTTCAGATGAGATGTGTTAAAATATGGAAGGGAATATTTAAAAACCATTGTTTACAATATTCTGAAGAAAGCCAAGCTTCAGCAGCTAGTGAAAATGATGATGGTGGTGACAGTGATGACGATGATGTTGATGATGAGAGAAATCAGGACACTGACACAGGTTAGTGGTATTCCAGCAGTCTGAATGCTTTTATACGTACAGCACTGTGCACGTGTCTCTGCAAAAAGTTTTCTTAATAATTTGTTGTTTAATGTGGGAAACAGGATCGTTTTAAGAGGCTTATTTTAGATGCAAATGAACAATCTGATAGAAAAATGGTAGCCTGAGTGCAAATACTATCATCCTTCAATGTGTTAATTTGATACAATATGATCCAAATCAGTCCCTTTTAGTATTACACTACAACTAGAAACAATATAACACCAATAACAACTATTTTGTAATAGTAGAATTTGTCTGCCTGCCTTGACAAGCAGTTGAGCTTGAAAACCGGGTGCACTGATGAACACATTAATGCCTCTGGCTTTTATTTATTCACAGTAAACCTGACTTTGTATTGCACTGAGCAGCTCTAAAAACTCTTCTTGAGCTCACAATAATTATGTAGAGAAAGTTATCATCAGCCGTTGATAAACTGTGCTTTCACCCCAAAACTTATGAATATATGTAACACTTTCAGAGTTTGTTAACAAGCTGACAGGTTCTATTTTGTCAAGATAATTTGTTTTATTCTTGTTTATTTTTACCACTGGCGCTATGCCAGCAACACAGCCAATACTTTAAAGTTAAAAACCAAGCTAAGACATGATTTATCACTTATGCCTGTATCCATATCTTTTTGTTCCAGACAATATTAGTACAGAAACAAAATTACAATGGAGCTTATCTGCTCTCTCCAAACAAGGTAAGCCTGAATTTACTTATGAATCCTAACAACTGGTTTTAGCTCTGTTTTCAGAGAGCATACAAAGTATCTTGAGATTCAGATGAATAATTTTCATTCAAATTAGTGAAGAGCAGGGAGTCAATAGGCCCAACATATTTTCAGTTAAGCTACTTGGTAGATAGGAATCCAAAAATGTCCGGTAACAATCCTGATCCTGTTAAATTTACAAAAGCAAATCTTACCCCATAAATATTTTAGGGTCAACATTATCTAGGTCTTTTTGGAAGGTTTATAGCATAAGCTAGAAATGCCTGAACTAGTTTTAAAAGCATGGAAATGTCATTTATGTTCTCTTCTCCGTTAGTTATTACGTGGCCTAGCATAAGACTGCATGCTGGAGATTCCAGCAGTTCCAGGTAGCACCTAGCTCCCAGAAACTGTCACATACTGGGAAGAAACTTCCATCTTGTCAGTTTTCACCTTCTCTTCCCTCACTTCTCTGACAGGGCCAGAAACTTGCAGGAGGGTTTCTTATAAGGGCCAAGCAGTGGAAGGGAGAAATATGAAGATCACACAATAAGCTTAAAAGAGGCAATGCTGGAAGAGCATCAGAGGTTTTGTGACTCAAATTTGTTTTTAATGGGAATGTTGCAGGCAGGATGACTGCCAATTATCACTCGAGGAAGGTTTTCTTGTGATTTCATTTTAAAAACTGTTATTCTTTTTAGCATACACAGCAAACAGAACCTGTTTGGATGTGAACAAGGAGTGTGTTGAAGATGAAGTATGTAACAAACAGTTGTCCCTGTACCTTAAGGTTTGCTCAGTCAATAAGAAGTGCAACATGGAAGAATGTCAAGCAGCCATAAGGTTCTTCTACCGAAACATGCCCTTTGAAGTTGCCCAAATGATGACATTTTGTGATTGTACTGAGCCTGATGAATCCTGCCACAGAGCCAAAGAACTTCTCCATGGCAAACCCTGTGCAGTTACTGCAGTTCCACCCCCATCATGTCTGAATGTAATCCACATGTGTGAAGAGAATGAATTGTGCAGGTAAGTAGAAGAAAGATTTTGCTTAGCAATGTGCCTGTTAATAAGGATTTGATCAAATATTTTTTACATATATGCCATATATCTCATCTACAGCATAATTTTGTTCTGCACTGTATCTATTGTATATAGGTTATTTTAGACTAGATATAAGGAAGAAATTTTTCATAGTGAGGGTGTTGAAACACTGGCACAGGTTGCCCAGAGAGGTGGCAGATGCCCCATCCCTGGAAACATTCCAGGGCATCTTGGATGGGGCTCTGAGCAACCTGATCTAGTTGAAGATGTCCCTACTCCTTGCAGGGGGGTTAGGCTAGATGACCTTGGAAGGTCCCTTCCAACCCAAACTGCTCTGTAATTCTATGATTCTATATTATCACTTGTGTTTGACAACTTCACAGATGTCTGCATCAGCTGTGGTAGTTCCACAAGTAATTCCACAAGTAAACTGAAAAGGTTCATTTTCAGAAGGGTCTAGAATCTAATGTGGGCTTTGCTTCTGCCTTTTTCATTACTCTTAACACTATTTCTGCTGGACAAACTAGGCCGCTGTGTATTTTCATTACCACTTTCTTCAGATAACTCTTGCCAGTGTGCACCTTTGTCCTCTAGCAGTTTGCACAAATTGTGCAGCAGACCGGGCAAAATTTGTTTGGTTAAAGTAATTACCTCTTCCACTGTAGAGTCTGACCCTTTGTACCCAATGGCCCTACAGCCAACTAGGCCTGTTCAGAAAACTTGTCTTATTCTTTTCATCTCCAGCATACCGGTACTTGAAAAAAGCTTCCCTGAAACATGCACAGACCACCAAACTCATGAAAAATAATGCCCTTTACAGATAGGATTTTATTTTAGAAAACATGCCAACAGAATTAGCCCATATTCATTGTTCTACTTAATTGCCACCATTTGTGGATGGTCAATTGGCCCACTTTGGTTTTCAGTGTAGTCATCGGTTCCCTTGTGGATTAAACCTGAATTTTACCTCAAAACTGTGCTCAAATTAACCTTCAGTCAACAAACCAGGAGGCCAAGAGACACTTTCAGTTCTGTGCAGGCTATTCAGACTGACGGCAGTGCGAATTGCCCCTTTTTATGTCAAGAAGAATTGGGCTACAAATGTACGTCTGTGCATGTGCATGTGTACACATGTAATATCGTAACGGAGGCTTGCTGAATTACCCATTATTTTGGGAAAAGTAATGTTTCCTGGCACTCACAGTAAATGGATATAATTAGCAAAATTAGTCTGTGACTTATGGCTAGTCATACCAGGAGGTGAATAAAGAATTCCATTAGCACAGAGGTGGCATCTGCTTTGAAACCTTTGCTTGTGTAATGTAAATATTTACAATAATATCCTAGCTGGTATTGTAACAGTCCATGCTTTTCCATGTGACTTGCTTGTAACAGCTACACAATATCAATACTAAATTAATAACCTAATTTTATGATTAGGGAAAAAAAGTTGTAATATCTTAATGTACAATATACAACATTTACCTTTATTGTACCCTAACATTTAATGTGATAAATAGATTTCTAATTAATATCTGTGGATTTCTTAGTTAACTTCTAGTAGATGTTTTCAATTGTCACACATAGTGCATTAAAGGCCAATTTTATTCTATTTTAAGAGCAAATAAACTGAAATAATTTGAGATTATTGAGCTGGGAAACAATTTAATTCTTCTCATAATTTATCTCTGCTATCAATTAACCTTTAAGGTCAACTGAATTACTTCTAATTTTTCATGAACCTTAGACATTTTGTATTTTGTTAGCAGTATGTGGGAGGAGGGATTGGCATTGGATGTAGATTATTATATGTAAAATAAATTGAATATTCATTCTGCCTTCACACTGCTCAACAAATTGACCCGCTAGAACGGCACCTGTTTTGGTTTCATTATGATGACTGCTTTTATTCCTCTGTCGACATTTCTTCTCTGAAGATGTGAGATGGTTGGTATTCATACTAATTTTTGCTGGACCCTGGGAAAATCTCGCAGGTGCTGATTAGAAGTGCATTTGTTTTTTCTCAGAAACTTTTTCAGTTAACCCAAGTTTTTCCACAAATTACAATTTTGCAGATTTCATTCAAACCAGTTAGGTGCAAATCAGAGCAGAATTTTGGCCAGCAACTATTGAATATTGTGATTACTAAGATTTAAGTGGTACCTCAGGAATACACTCTCTTTTCGTAATGATCCTTAAATATCTTTTTCTGAAATCAGAGAGTTTTTACGCCGTCATTGTATACCTCCTTTTCCTCCACCAGGAAAAAATACACAACTTTTCAGTCAAAGTGTTGGAGACACGTGACCAAAAAATGCTATGATGATGAAGCTTGTCTTGAAACTTTAATGAAAGGTGACATGCCCTGTTCTGCAAATGCTGATTGCAAAGCAGCCTACATGAGCAACTGGGGCACGATGCTGCGCGTGGAGTGTACCTGCCAGAGTTTGCCTCCCACAGAGCAGTCTTTGTGTGAGCTCTTCCATCATATGCTTCACAGCAAGTCCTGCTTCAGTGAGTTACGTGAGTAACACATAAAACGTTAAAGAATAATTAGTTTTAAAGAGTATTAAAATGGTGACTTAGACCACTGATTTCAGCAAGATTTATATCTTCATTTTTTTAAATCCAAATCAAAATACAAATTGCATGTGCAGTTTTTTCCTCTGGTTTTGGGGAAGATTTATTTTAGTAGTAAATCAATAAAATTGACTACATGTCTCATTACATGAATTTGCTGGAATAACAATAAAAGAATAATTTCTGGGGCCTATACTATTACACGGATTAGAAAAGTCCAAAGCCTTCCTGTCATTGGCTTAATGTTGTACTTCAGTACACTGATTTTACAAATAATGTGATATATTATGTTGTTTTTTCTTTCTTTTCTTCTTGGAGTCCAAGTATTAGTATAGCTTACACATTTAGCAACAGACTTCATTCCACAGAAAATAACTTCAATGATTTAAATAGAACCTCTCAAAGAAAAAGCTGCTGTGAATGGAGACTTCAGGACTTGGCCTTCAGTAAAAACACTGGGGTTAACTCAGATGAAAAGCATGTACCTTCTGTCAGAACCACTAAAGCCTTTCATGTGCTAAATCAGTTGCCTATTTTTGTAAAATGTAAAAGTCCTTGCCATGTCTCTGTTTAAGGGAGAATTGTTAGTGCAATGAATGGCAATATGGGAGCAAATATTAATGTTTTAGTCTGCATCTGGATTGTGCCTTTGAAGCAAACCCCTGTTTGCCCCCATTTATTGTGCTGTGGGTCACATCACAGGGTGGTTCCTGGACTTCTGCAGCCTAAAATTGCCGCCTCTGCAATGCTCCAGCTACATCCAGGCATCCGGTCCATGGACCGGAATAAAGACCAATGTACCCTCTTCTCCACAAATCTCTGATCTATCACACCCATTATTTTGCTATATAAATCCTCTTAGCATATACTATGTGCTATATCATACCCTATGCCAGTCATCTTCTATATGCAATTATATATATTTTTGACCTAGCTTGGGAGAGATAATTAGATATCTAATCATTTCAATGAAAAGCAATGACTGTTTCATAGTTCTACCTGATGGACTGTCTTTTAAAAACTGCCTTATTAATTCCATACATGCATTTCATTGAATGAATTATCTAATTTTTTTGTTTTAGCAGCCAAAATGTTACCACTGATAAGAGTATAATTTTTTTGTTGTCACTCAAACTCTACCCAGAAATTAAAATCAAGTTGCCAAAACTCTGCCCTTAAGCTTACTTAATCACTACTAAAATTCAGACTCTGAGAGAAGATTAAAAATCATATAACAACTCCCCTGTAAAGGTGATACCATAACACACTTAGATTTGAGACTACTGGCGGTGGTTTTACTGATGAATGTTATTTATTTGTTTGCTTGCTCTATGGCTGCATTAAATAATGGTCCAAATGAATGATCACATCATTGTTTTAGTTATTCTTTACCTACAAAGCAAAAAAATGATTCTCGTGTCATAATCAAATAATTGCTCATGAGCTTATCTATTCCCTAAAGCTGTCTCAGGATAATTTGGTTTTGGTTTTGGTTTTGTTTTTGTTTTTTGTTTGTGATGGAAACTTCCCTAACCTAATTGGGATTGAAGAACAGAAGCTTGCTTGCTCCTGTGGTGCAAAGAATTCCTGCTAGTTAAACAAAAAGAGTTGGGGGATCCAGGGCCTTTGACTAAGTAAATGATTGGCACCTACTCTACAGAACGTGTGCAGAGTCTTGTGAATCTTGCTTCTGTTTTTTCTAGATGTATAGTTGTAATGAAGCTAAACTGAAGAGAGAGATGATTATGGGTTTGATTATAAGGCACAATGTTAAATGCCATTATGAGTTCAGAGACATGGAGCGAGTGCTCTGTTGCAGACCTCATCCAACTCCTGCTAATTCATTCATTTGGCCTGGCTGTGAACTTTGGATACCTTTCACTCTTACAGTGGTGATGATTTTTAACATTGAAGTCTTTCTGAATAGGCAAACACTCAAGGCTAACAAAAGGGATCTTTGCCTCTAAAACTGGTGTGAAGAAGTGGTGTTTGCACCATCATATTTTCCTACTCTTGTATGGCATTGACTTGCTACATGTGTTTGCTCTTGGGGCTGTGCTTATAGGATTAAAGCTTGCTGCAGATTCAGTGAAAGGCAAGCACTGTGAGTAACTGGCTGCTATATGAGACGCAAGCACAGCATGGATCAGTGCCAATGTAGGATCAGTGTCACAAACAGGAATAAGCAAAAATACCAGTGACAGAAAGTAAAAAGTTACGTTTCGAAAATATTTTTGCTCTAGATTGTACTTTTGGGTCTCACGGAAGAAATACATTACAAGGACATTTAGTCCACCGCTACTTAGACAATGTTCCAGGCTGCAAACCTGAGCCTTTGTCATACTGTTTTCATTCCTCTAGAGAATAAAAATTTCTCACCTGAGAATTCATGCCAGTGACCATGCATAGTCTTGTATGGCTTAGACTCTTGCTCTGTAAACTCTTCTACTTAGGTAAACCTTTTATTTTTCATTTCAACAGAAGATACATATTTTCAGATACATTCATGAAGTCATGCCCACTAAGAAGCCAGGCCTTTGTGAAAGAGTTGATTGGGGTCTAGCAATTCATTTGGAGAATAAACTCTGCCTTTTGGAAATTACTTCAAACTACTACACATTTCTCAACACTTCTATACTGGTTTGGTGGGCCCAGTTGTTTTGATGGGCCTATTTCTAAAACAGATTTTGTGAAAAGAGAATTTAAATTGTTTTGAGGCAGAGAATATTTTGAAAGCACACTTGTCTGCTATAAGACAAACTACGGGGGAGGTTTAACAGAGATGTCAAAGGAAGAACAGTCATTCACTCATTCACTTTGTTCACTGAGTGTCATTAAACAATGTTTTTAAAGAGCTACTTTTAGAAATTCTGTGACTCTTATGAAAACACTAAATGGCAATATTAGTTCAAAATATTTTTTTAAACTAATATTTTGAATGGATATTTTCTTTCCAATATTCAGGTCAAATTTCCATTAAGAAGAAAGGTTTTCATTGGGTAAATACAGAAATGCCAAGAGAAAAGCTTTCCAGAGCACAGTTCCATTCTTCTTCAATTAACGGTGAGCTTGGGCAAACTACTCCATGATTTTAACAGAAATACTCCTGAAATCTCTGCCAGGTATGACAGGGAAGACTGAAGGTTGGGTCCTTTGGGTGGGTTCAGGCAAGTGAACTCTACCTGTTGCTCCCCCATTCAATATAATGTGGAAAAATCTCTCTACCTGTTTGGCTTAGCTTATATAACCACAAAATAAAGATAATGAGACTGAACCAATTTCTCTGATATGTGGTTTTGAAATAGATGTCTCACAACCACTACATCATAATTGGGGAAAATTAAGCTATTAAACCTGCCAGAGCCTGGCTCTCCATACAGTCATTGGAGAGTAGTAGTCATAATGTGTAATACAAATTACTATCTTTGATGTCACACCTACTTGTCTCCTATCTCTCTTGAGTTTTTGTGCTATAGTAGTTACAACAACAAAATTAGGAAGCCATAGTAAGTGGTCTGAGTAGGGGCTTGCATTACACTCCATAACACTTTACCTTCTCATGCAACAGAAAGGCACCCAATTGTGGATCATGATATCCCATGGGCTGAAGAGCTGCATCTGGTTTTATTTCCATGCATTTACAGTATGCAATTAAGCAACATAAAGTTAAAGGATATTAAATTAATATACAAATTTTCTCATGGCTGAAATAATATTAATTTTATATTCTTTTTGAAGGACACAATTGCAGAGTGAGAACACTAAAGAGCTTAATGCACAAATAGCGACTCTAATGAGAATGACATGTTCTACCCTGTGTGGGGCAGATTACAATACTCCAGACATTACTGTGAATTAGTTCCCAGAACTGTTCATACTGAACACCTTTAACAGTGAAAAAATAATTCAAGTTCTGCATGCAGTACAAAATGAAGGGACTTCCATCAGCTCCATCCTTCAACTATTGCTGAAGTGGACAACTTGGGAAGTATAAAAATAGATTAATGGGAAAGGGATTCCTGAGACTCTGTATGTGACTAATTAAGCATTCAGCTGTAATTTTAGCATTAAAATTACTTGAGAATCATGCATGTCATCCAAGTGCTCTGTGTACTCAGAGAAGAAAGTCAGGGACCCTCAGATGAAGATTAATCCCACCTTTTCAGATTGTCTTTGCTGGAAGTGTTGGCTTCTCTTGGCCAGGTACAGAGGGAGCCTGAATCTCTGGCTGAAATGGGACTTCATTAGTTAAAAAATGCAAGTTATAATGCAAGAAGTCCTGCTTTAAGTGAGAAAATGTAAAATGTGAGATATTTCACCCCTGTGACTAGCTCTAACTGCAGACCCTTTCAGTGTGTATAATGTATTATACATTTTCCTCAGTGATTCAGATAAATGTTTGCAAAAAGCAGCCTGCACCCAGTTAATTCTGTTCCCACTGAGGTCTGAATACTTTCCAAAAAACTGTCCTTGAACTCTTAACAGAATTTTGTATGGCCTTAGAAAAATAAAAAGAATGCTGACCAGCCTAAACCATACGATAAAATATTCCTTCTATTGGAGCTGTCATGTACACTAGATGGGAACTCACTAAGCTCTGAATGTCTCATAGGAAGCCAGGTCAAGGAGAAGAATCTGATTCAGGATATCTACCTGATGATAAAAACCATATTGCAAATTGTTTTATAAATCCCGCTGCCAAAAATCTAACCCAGTATCCTAGATTTGTATGTTAGTAAATGTGCATTACTCAAGCTGCAAAGGGAGTTATCATCTTTACAAAATATTTATCTTTACTGAAATCAAATCCCAAGAAGAATCCCAGGGTGCAGAGGCAAAATGGTTAAGTTGTCAAATATGGCTTCTTGTGTGTGTGAAGATATTTGAAGATATTTGCTTCTTGGCTATTTTCTGCTTGGAGATACAATTTGCTGATTTCTTGTTCCTACATCAAAATCTCAGAAGAATCCATTAGTTAGCTTGTCATTGAAAGATACAAGGATGTCTTTCACCAGTTCAAACTAATGACCGTCTACAGATGAACATGCTCAGAAGAAACTCAGTATTTCTTCAACTTTTTCTTAATTTTATAATGCAAAAAACCACCTCCTGTTTGAAAACCAGTAAGATTTCTCCATTGTATTCAGTGGCATGCATATCATATATTTCAATAAAAGAAGTCTTTAATAATAAATAGAAAATCTAAACGTATGTTCATATATATTTGCAAATAAATATAACCCTATTCAATTGGAAGAATATTATTCCAGCTTTTGGTGTAACCATATAATAATGGGATTGTGTAAAAATCTTGACTGGATTTACACTCATTCACATACCCAGGAGGGTACAGGCCAACCCAGTCGTCTGTGGGCTGATACAACCCTGTTAACAAGATGTGATGTGGGCAGAGTCCTAACATACAAAAGTTAATGAGACTTTTGCTGTAAGCTTAGATGGGGCCAGAATTTTATGACATTTTGGAAACAGCGCCAAGTGTTAAACCAAACAAAAATTCTCCAAACTTCAAAAATATTGTTATTGCCTACCTAGTTATGCACTTTCAGTCTCTATGCAAATTATCTCCATGATTTTATAGATCCCCATAATTTAAAAGATTGCTTCCCACACTTTAATTTGAAAAATGATTCATGTATGAAGATAAGCATTTACTTTCATCAGCACAGAGCTTTGGAGCTAAAGTACTTTTTGACTGGAAAAGAAAGCCAGAAATACAGAACTCTCATCCTGTCCTTGTGAAATACTATAAAATTGGGCTTGACCCAAAACTGTTGAAATTAATCTCATTTCATCTTAAATTGTAGAGTTATCATATATTTCCTGC